CCGAAGTCCCCGTGTAGGTAATTGCAGGGAGAATTCAGTATCTTAAATGCATTTCGAGTTACGAAATGTAAAAAATGTGTATCATGATTATTCAGGGAGGAATGCTCTATGATTAATGGAACTAGTTGTTTGATTATCAGAATAACTTTTGGTTTTTAAAATTATAACATAACTGGGTAGTAAGGGTTAAGCGTTAGAAAAAATCGAAACACATAGAACCAACTTTGAAACTCGAATACAATGCACACCGCCACCTTGGTTAGTGTGACGCGTTACGGTTTGTGACTGCAAACAAAATATCTGTTGTTTGAAGATAATGGTGACAACTACGTACTCTCGTTCGATGACAAATGGATTCCTGAACATGTGAATATTCGTCCTTCAGTAGATGTTCCCAGGGATTTCAGTTAGGGAATCTTTTAAGCGAAGGCAACTTTTTAATTTAAAAGAGTTTAAGACAATCCTTAAGACAAGATTAAGGTGTTGATTGCTAATAGGGCCCGAACTTGGTGTTTACTATGTCTTGTTAACTTGCGAATAATTTGTGGTGATCACCTTTCAGTGCGTAATGTTAGGCAATTACCCAGGTAAATTTATCCAGTTGTCCACGTTATTTCGATTAGGTTAAGTTACGTTCATTCAAAACGTTTTTCTTTGCTTAAACACAACAAAGATCTTTGACGGTGTTTTATCAACAATTATTAACTGAGTTTTAAAACTGCCTGGAAGTTTTGTCTGACCATGTGTAATCTTTTTCCCTTGCGAACTCTTCAAAGAAGCATGGGTGACCGGATAAAACCGCTGAAATTTCCAAGAGACGATTTCCTTCCACTAGAAATGGATGTAGGAAAAGAAATGGTGGACGTTCTTCCAAAACTGCCGGCCCGAAAGGAGGATATCTTTATTACCTCATATCTAAGATCAGGTTCGTTTACAAGTGACAGGGGTCTTTTCTCTAAAATGTGAAACTCACTATAAATCAATACATGATTTGTTTTGATGTCTTCAGTCAACTGGGCCAGGGACTTTATTATGTTGTTGGTTTGTACTTATTTGGTTCCTCTTCGTCACTATGACTATTCCGAGTAGTTTTGCCGGCACATTCATACGGCAACGATAGTAACAACGAAGGGCACGATAATGATGTTGCAAAAAGGCTACGTTTGGGTTAAGTTGAGATAGGAACAGAAAGAAATTGTGAAAGTAATTTTAGATTGATTTGGGATGGAATAAGCCGTGAGAAATACTTGGATCACGGTTGACCCGACCCCATTTCTCAAAGTTTTGCTTCTCCTTCGCCATTTCGATTTATCCCTTATGTCCATAAGACAGTTTTTTTTACAAGATTGCAGAGTAACAAGAACGACGATGATACAAGCAACGCTAAAAATAAATGAAAGTAGCAACCAGAAAAATTGTAAGGAGAGGAATACATGGCCGTTGCGCAGGCCAACCTTCTCGCATGGTGTAGGTTGAGCTCGCTGTAAATTATCAGTTATGTTTACAGGGCTATTTTTATCAGTACTTTTGAATTAAGTTGAATGATTCCCCACAAACGATTAAGCACTGACTCTCCAAGGCGCGAAAAAATAAACTTTTTGCTTATTATTAGCTTCTCATTGATAGCAATGATTTATTTTTATGTAATGCCTCATTCGTTTAACAAAGATTGAAAAACGTCTCTGCTGCGATCCACACTTCTCTTTGCAAATTGTAGAATTGTACATTTTCTGGAACTTTGCGGGTTTCTTTTGTCATTTTTCGCAGGCTCCACTTGGACTGGGGAAATTATATGGCAGATTCTTCATGATGGTAAAATAGACGAGCGACGATTGGATGAACGAATACCTTTTGTGGAAGGGATTATTCTGCCTATTAGATCTTATCCCTATACTGTAACAGACCCCGAGTCTGCCAAGAAAATGTTTACCAGCTTCCCTGAGCCTCGCGTATTCAAAACTCATCTTCCTTATTGCTTCGTCCCTAAGGGCTCTGATGAAGCTAACAAGCCTCGATACATATATGTTGTGCGCAATCCCAAAGACGTGTTTGTGTCTCTTTATCATCATCACCGCAACATGCCTTATTTAGTGGAAATTCCTTCCTGGGACGAGGCGTTCAAACGTTTTATCACAGGAGACTGTAAGTAACATTTCCTTAGCCATTCTTCATGAACAAGGGCTTTAAGTCATTAAGACATATAATAGGTACATTGATTCTACAACTCAGTGAACATCCTTTGATAATAAATTTCAGAAGAGGCAAACATATGACTAGTTCACTAACATGGCTTCCCGGTTGAAGTCCTAAATGTAATAACTGTCCTAAATGTAATAAAGTCCTAAATGTAATAAGCCTCCAATGTAATAGTTTAACTCCTTCAGCGCATTGTTGTTATGGCGGACATCCACATTGAGATGTTAAAGTGACGGCTGTCGCACTAAAAAACCGCTGACCAGTATTCATGTCACATTACGGGCTCGCTGATATCAATCAGCGTCTTTTTACCTGCTAGACATAAGAAATATCAGCAGTCGAAGTATGGTCCTTTAAGCGGTTTATCGATCGAGTTGAAGAAAATCATTTCCAGCCCAAAGTGGGCTAGTGCTTGGCTGGAAGCTCAATAGGATGGAATCGATTAGTGCGTAATCACTAGGACTTTTTGGAAAGGAAATTGACTACAATTGATGTTGAACTTGCATGCTATTGTTAATGTTATCGTTCGTGTTAGTCTTTAGTAGTCATGGACCATTTCAGAGCAGTTCGAATGATTTCGCTGTGTCACATGTTAATCCAAAGCATTATTATCAGTAGTGTTACTGAAATTTTGCACATCAATGTTATTCATTGTCAATTGATTTTAATGAAGCATTTTGAGTTCATTTTTAAGAATGACTAACTTGATTTATTCAATTTTGAACCTGGGATATTGCATTTGTAGCCCTCTATGGCTTTACTGCACCTCAGTAATCAGTTCATGTACCATATGACTATAAGTGGAAACTGTTGAGCTTTCTTTTTTTATTCATGTATTTATCTATTCATTTTCTCCCCTCACGGCGGGGAGAAGAGATGAAGACAAAAAATGAAATATAAACTTGAGATCAACTGTAAAATATATGTTTTTTCAGTATTTCGGTTCGGGAACTGATGAACCGGTCATTAAGGGGCTTAAGGAAAAAAAGGAATGATTCATTAGACCATCAACTGACCATCGTGTGTTGAATGTTGTAGCTCAATGATTCAATTTGACTTTTGCGTGGAAAAAAGGCAACACGTCGAGACCTGTGATGGTGAAATGGGATAATATATGATTGGTCAGTCGATATCTTGCTCTGTAAGTCACTTTATCATGATATAGCTAGCAGCAGGTAAGATGAAGTGAATCCTGTGTTCTGATTGGCTACCTGAGCGGGCACGATGGGCCCGCCCTCGCCCGCTCGGGATTCCCCGTATTGATCCCACGCAAGAAAACTTACAAAGTTCGTAACTTTTGGAAAATGTCGGCATATACATAGAAAAAAATAAACGACCCTCTTGGGTTTATTGTGCTGCAAACACAGTTGGCTTTCTCTATCGGCTCTCGAAATAAACAAGCCATTCTTGATTCTTATCAAAGCGAAATCTTTTGCTATACAATGAATCTTTTGCTATACAGTGAATCCTTTAATGACCAAGCCAAGAGAATACAAACTCTCTTGACCAAGCTTGTTCGGTCAAGATGACTGGATATTAGCCTTGTTCTTTTTTAACTTTTTTATGGACCGAGACAAAGTCTCGGTCCATAAAGACGCAAATAAAAAAAAAGAACTCGGCCAATATCCAGCCATTTTGACCTCATGCTTGGTCAATAACGCATATGAATACATTTTATTCAGACCCATACAAATCTGGCAAGGGAAGACAGTACAAAAAATGCACTTCCGAGCCCGGAATTTGTCTAACGTATAAGTCGGTGGACTTTCTTTTCCTTGTAATTCGGTTCATGAATTGTTAACTTCAGCACTGATCACACAAGTATATCGTCAAAACCTGTTACACTTAAGAGTCTGAGCCAATGATATAAAGAGAGCGTTCTCATTCCTTTGCGTCCGTCAATTTGATGCCAAAAGCACATCAGTATAAGGTTTTGTAGCCAATGCTTCTCAACATACGTCTTTAGCAAATAAAAAGACGCTGATTAAAATCAGCGAGCCCGCAATATGCCATGAATATTGGTCAGAGGATTCTTTAATGCAACAGCTGTCACTTTAGCATCTCAATGTTAGCGCACTCAAACGGCTGCATAGGAGGCTTATTACATTTAGGACCGAACGTTATTACATTTAGGGCTTTATTACATTTAGGACCAAATGTTATTACATTTAGGACCAAATGTTATTACATTTAGGACCAAATGTTATTACATTTAGGACCAAATGTTATTACATTTAGGACCAAATGTTATTACATTTAGGACCAAATGTTATTACATTTAGGACCAAATGTTATTACATTTAGGACCAAATGTTACTACATTTAGGACTTTATTACATTTAGGACAGTTATTACATTTAGGACTTCAACACCCGTAAGACGGCGGTAGAGAAAAAACACAACAAGACTGCCAAGGCTGACACGTTTGAGAGCAGCTATCTTTGATTTGTACGAAGTAGAGTGGCAATTACTCAAAACAAAGATAAACATTTTACTGGAAACCAGTAAGAATTCGGAGTTAAGTCGTAACTGACATTAAGTGACGGATAATGGAAGTGAAACAACTGGTTCGACCTCAAAAACTAATTGAGAGTCCGTCGCGAGTTTTCAAGACAAAAAACCCGAGGATAAGTTAAACAAGGAAAACAGTCAAACAAACAAACAATGAGATCCCGGTTATGTCTGACTGTCTGATCGTCGATTGGAAAAGGCACCCATACCATCAACGAAACATAACATATCACAGTGAACTCGCAGGTTTAGAGTCTACCAAACTATAAACTTAATATAAATCAAGCTCTGGGAATGTAATATTTCTGATGTCTGCTTGGACGAAGGAAATATAAATAGCAAAATTGTACGTTTTAATGAAAGGCTTTTTCTTGCCTACTTTGCAGTTACGTTTGGTTTGCACTTTGATCACGTGTTAGGCTGGTGGGAACAAAGGGACGACCCTAACATTTTGATTCTTACTTATGAGGACAGAATAAAGGTAAGAAATCAAAGTCAACCGTTTATGGATCCTAAAGCTCTTGTAAATGTATAATATAACCCTCTATTTCGCTTAAGGATTAAGGTTTTTTAGTATTTAATTCGCCAGGGCGTTAATCAGGCTATTTTCAAAGGCTTTGTGTATGGCTTGCGGACGAAGGAAATAAATAGATACCAGAAAGAGAACTCGCGTAACCAAGTGTTTTCAATATTTTCGACAATTTAAAACAGTTTAAGTCTTTAACAATTCACATGGATTTGCATGTATGCATGATAAGATTTTGTTTGTCGCCATGCAGCTTTTCCTCTTACGGTTCTTTAATATGTGAGCAACCAAACCATTTTGTAAAGAAACGTCGCTGAACTCCATCAAGGCTACAATGTTTCAGTTAAACCGCTAAAACTAAACCCATCAAAATCAAAGTGACACTACGAGCTCGTCGTAAACACTAGAAACTGTCGCACTCAGGATGTGTTAAGACCGACTGTACCTGTTTCAAGGGAAAGTTCCAGCGAGTTTCAATACCCAAATAAATGCAAAGATAGCAACGTATAACTTTATCTTGACCAATCACATTGGAGATCCAGTAATTGGAGCAAACCACAGAAAAACCTGAACTTATTAGCGTCATTCTGCGAGATTCACAATAATAGTTAGTTATAAAATGTTATTCTTTAAGGATCCAGGAGATGCTGTTGACAAGATAGCAAATTTCCTTCGTAAAAAGATCTCCCCTGAAACACGTGACCTTATTGTCAGACAAACGTCTTTTGACGTCATGAAGAGCTCCAGTCACACCAACTTTACTTGGTTTGAAGGAATCAAGGGGGATGGCTTTATTAGAAAGGGTCAAGTAGGAGGATGGAAAGATTACTTCACTGAAGAACAGAATGAGTTGTTTGATAAGGTTTTCAGTGAAAGAGTTGGAGATGGTGAGACTGCAGCTCAATTAAGAGAACTGCTGTCACTGTAGTAGCCCCGAAATGAAACAGAAATTCAAATTGAAATAACAGACGCGCTTTGTTTAATGATTATGTTTGTACGCAATGAGCACCCATTAGGAATTTAACCCAAATGTTGATGATAAAATTAGCAGTATGGGTTGGGATTATTAGAGAAGATTTTAAAAATGCATGGACCTTTTAGCCTGAGGAAATTTTTTGTTTTTATATCAAATTTAATTTTAGTAATAACACGCAGATTGCATAATGTTGAGCCTGTTTAGAAGTTTTGCCTGTTTAAGACTCAAACTCCCAACACCGTACCATGCTTGGCCCCACATTCCCTTCCGGTCTATCGATTCTAAATCAAGCCAACCTACTAGTGCAACAGCAACAGAGTACGACGACGACAGGTGACAACAAAGAAGGTGTGTTGATTTCAGTATAATAAATGAGAAATACATGGGCATTGGTAAAAGTAGTTTTTGTTTCATATTATTTAGGGCTTCACCTGAAACGTTCTCACATATACAAACAAACGAACAAAAGATAAAAGAAATAAAATGAAAGCGTAATGATTAGAAAAAAAATTCACTCAATGATGATGAAATACATTGGATTCTTATTGGGTGTATCCCACTTGACAATGCATCGCTGATTGGGTTAATTAATTGCTGTCGCATTTGAGAGACTTAGTCCTCAGAGAAAGGCTTTTTTTTTCTCACAACGACCGTTTCTGAGAAACCAGAGTTATACTGCACGTATATGTGTTCAAGACTGATAAACTGATAAGTGAAAACTGATGCTAATATTTGTATCTGATGTTATAGTTACGTACTAGGTCCGGAGGAATGCGACACGGCTTTGTTCGAAAAGATCAAGTAGGAAGATAAAAACATAACTTTGTCGGAAAACAGAACAGTTTTTTTGATAAGGCATAGGTTAATCAAGTTCATTTACAAATAAAAATTTGCCACCAACATGGATGTATGCGTGGAATTTCATTAAAGCGGAGGTGCTTGTGAGTTTCAATTTTCTTCCAATCAAGGGATAACTTATCTTGTTTCAACTTTGATGGTAGGGAAGAGAGCAAAGTGTGGGAAAGAGGAGCCCAGTTCACTTGCAAAATTCTTGAGGAAGGCTGGTGCAATAACACTAGTACAGATTATTTAGAAAAGTAAATTATTAACTGACATGACTTACCCTTCTGCTTAACGTTGACAGCAATCTTAAAGAAGTAAAAAAATACTTGGATTGTCCAGTAAATGGGAAATAAGTGCTCTAAGACTTTGGGGCATTTACTGGCTGTTAGATCAAGTAGACATTTTCTTGATGAACAGTTGGGGATATAGCCATGCTGTTACCAATATAATGGGAAATTTGAAATGTTAAGCATCTTGAATATTTAAAAAATATACAAATAACATTCTTTAATAGTGATAACAGATGTACAGTAATGGACAATGCAACCAACTTGTACAAGTAAAGGTCACTGCTTCCTACAATATAAATTTTACTTTGATTTTACCAAACTGTCACTTGTAGGTGAGTCACATGTTATCAGTATTATGTGTAACTGAGGAAGTACCAGTAAATCCCACAGGAATTAACTCAGTACGTACAGATTTGTATGGGAGTGTTGTCAAGCCAAAGAACAGTTATCATTAACACAGATTTTAATCAGTACCCTTACTAGCACAAAGGAAATTATGTAGGGGCTAAAATTAGCACACTCACTTAACACCTTGACTGTACCAGTGGCACAAAAGGCCCTCTTTACAGAGGCTTCATAAAATCTGTCATTTAAAGATCACATATAAGTACTTGGGGTAGAACAACAAAGTGTAGCTACTTGATGCTGGTCTGAAGCTTCCAAGTTGAAATCTGATTCATCTTCTGATAAAACATACAGTTCTGGCTGTTGGTCATGATGCCATCTAAGAGGGACATACCTCTGTGTGAGGTGGTGGGGCATGTTTTTAACTCTCAAAAAAATTTAATTAATCCTCATCTTCACTTGGTTCTCCCTTTTCAATTCTGTTTGCCAAGTCTTTTACAAGAAACTCCAAGGAATCATTCTCTGTCAACCTTTTGACTGATTCACCCTTTTCAGCCAAGATATCTTCAATATTTCTGTAAAATATCATTCAACAGGCTTAAAGTAATAATTTAATCACATGGACCATTCAAGCTTGACTTCAGGTGTGATTGCACATGTATCTTGCATATGTGGGTAGGCATTGTATCAACTCACTCATTTGTGGATTTTCATTATTACTTTTATAAGGGAGTTAATGACTGAAATTAAACTTAAACCGACTTTCTATGTGTACAAAAAACTGAGACAACGTGAAGGTGGTTTCTGAATAAGAAAAAGTTGATTTACAATCAACTCACATGGTATGTACATGTACAGTGTATGCCGTTTCGAAGAGACTGTGCATGATCTCTGAGGATTAACATATTCTGACTTTGGATGAATTGTCTCATCTAGTACAGATGTACTTTTGGCAAAATGATTGGATACCAACAAAACAGAGGTAATACACAGTGTGTATGGGCAGTGTGGAACCAGTGGGAGGTGGATGGTGGGCAGCATTAGTGGTACTTTCTACTAATAAGCTAATAAGAATGTGCCAAAGGATGGGGTCACATTTTCATGACTGGGTTGATTACCACAGGTTTTCATTTTCAATAGAGTTGCTAGAATGGGGTTGAACCTTATTGGACATTTTGGGGGATAAGAAAATTCCAGTTAGTAGGAAAAAAAAATTAAAAAATGGCAAGATTACAGTCAAGAGGTTCTAGGACTGGCAAAGAATATAATATAATGGGGTAGGGGATCTTAAGGAACAGTAGCACATGCCCAGCATAGCGTAGCCCAAGTTTCCCGAAGTTCCAAGTTCCCCGTCCTGGGGCCTGGGATCACTTAAACGTTTCCACAGCTGTACTCTTTCAAAAACCGTTTTTCCTTGAAAAAAAATACATCGAAAGTCATCAAAATTAACCCCCTGCTAAATTAAATTAAATGTAGAATTGAGGAAATGCATCTTTGGGGAATTAGGATTTCCACCAAAGAATGCAGTGTTTATGTCACATAAGCGTTTAGTTCTCTATCTTAGGCTCTATCTAACTCAAAGCAGTAAAGCAAATTTACCTGTTATCGTCATAAAACCATCCCAAGTTGTCGGCTATAAGATGATTGTTGTTACATCCAGGACATTTGACAATAACTACTCCTTTAGAATAGGCCTGTTTACTAATAAGCTTCTGTGATCGTGTTTCACACACTTTGCACGTGAATACTAGATGAAACTTATCACTTTGATCAATCGACCCCAGCGGTTTACAACCGCTATTCGTCGCCTTACTGCAAAAGCTACGCCATAAGGAACACGTTCTCGTAGATGTAGCTGTAGTTAAGGAAGTACTGAAACTAAAAGGTCTTCTTATCAAATGATTCCACGATACTTGTCTTAAAACGCGATGCGACCTTGCACACACGTTGGCCGCCATTTCACTTGTTACCTATGTGTTCATACACCAAACACGTTTTGAAACTCACTGACATCCGCTGGTATGAGCGCGGGCTTGTGTCTCGTCAGATATGGAGGAGAGGTCTGATACATATGGCGGTGTGGAGGAGAGGTACACTTCGCCTGCCCCAATATAATGTACTAGATCTTCTCAACAGATCGAATTCGTTGAAGATCATATGCAAACGATGTGCAAGTCAAGCTCAAACGTCTGAGGATAGAAAACCACGCTCGATGGTCGGTCGATGTGGTTTATGTTACTAAACCCTGCATCAGTTTTCAAGTTTTTAGAAACTAGATGTATCTTCAGCTATTAATTACTGAACTGATTTGTTCCAAACATGGTAGTCAATGATCTTTTGTTATTACTAATGATAAATTATATTTTTATGATTGCCCATGCTCGTACATAGTAAAGCGAAGTACTAATGTCAGTAAATGTACACACACTAGATAGTTGTTATTTAGCTTTCTGTTCTAAACATAGTTAGTAGAGGAGACTAACTATGTTCTAAACAAATGACTACTAGATTGGGTTTAATTTCCAGGCAATAGCGAGTCAAGGTGAACATTACTGTATAATGAATGGTTTTTGTTTTTGCATAGGTTGTTGGTTTGGGTAATCTTTCCCTTCCTGACACCCGCCACAGTGTGGGAATGCTTGTAGTTGACTCTCTTGCCAAGTATTTGGGAACTTCTTGGCATTTCAATAGGCAATCTTTGGGTTACGTAGCAGTGACAAAAGTTGGTCACCTAGAAATTATACTACTGAAACCTTCTGTTGCAATGAACTTGAATGGAAGGAGCATTTCAAAAGCAGGTACCCTGGCTGTTAGATTATTCTCTAACTTATGACATGAATTTTGTGGTATTATTTAACATTGGTGTTGGGATAAAACTTGATATCATCTCTAAGTTTACGCCTGACACCTTAGCTTCAGTATGCATATTCTCCACACTGTTCTCCATAGATTTCCAAAGGTACTGGTTAGGAGAATTTGTTTAACAACCAAGGGCTTCTTTAGTTGATAATCATTTTCATTTATTCTGGTTACTTTTGTGTGTGATTCAAGGGGTGATATTGTTGGAAAAAACTTGGTGCAAGTCACTCTTTGGGTCAAGGGGTTAAACCTCTTCTATGAGATTAGCGAGAAAGGGATATTATGCCAAGATAAGTTCTTGAAAAATTGTCAAGAGTTTGGCCCACACACAGGTCAGGCTAATGGAGTGAGATAGAATGCATCACTTTACTTTTTTAATTTTCACAGTAATTCTTGTGAAAGAACTGCAGGATGTAGACAGTCAGCTCAAATTATGAACCTGATGAATTTACTTGAATAGTGATACCACAGACTTGATAACATTTCAACAAGCAGCAACATGTAATTCATGTTACTGTTCCTTTCTTATTCAGTTGCAATGTATAAAGTGAACCCATCTGATGTTATTCTTGTTCATGATGACCTTGACAGACCTGTAGGGAAGTACAGTTTAAAACATGGAGGAAGTGCTGGGTGAGCTATGTTATACCAAGCACTACATGTACATGTTCTTCAGTATAACACTAATACACCTGCTTTTACAGAGTATAAGGCTGCCTACCGAACCAGCCTTCTTAGTCAGCTGCTATAGCTTTACAGTATGTAATATCATGGTTCCTATAGCATAAAGCTGGCAGTAAAAGTTGTTTAACCTTAGTTAACCCTGAGTAGCATTTTGACAATTTGCCTCTACTTATGTGTACAGATAGTTGAAATGTTTTTGTGTTTTAAATTTTTCCAAATCAGTGCTATTTTTATTTCCCCCAGTTCAGACTGACTTATAATGAAAATGAGACAATGTTAAGCAAAAATAAGCTAGTTTTAGCAAGAGATTTAGACTAAGGAATGGCAATTTAACCCCAATACAACCATGAGAGGCATAGTGAGAGAGCCATACAGAAAGTGAGAGAGAGCCAGCTATAAGGCCACTGCTTCTCCCACAACATGTGTTATGCAAAATAAGAAATTATAGTTCATGCACTAAATGTAATTTGTGACAATGTAAAATGCTGAGTGAAGATCTACCTTCAGAATTTCAATTCATGTATATAACATTTTTTGCAGGGGTCACAATGGAGTAACATCAGCAATTGCATCTCTTCACTCTGATGTGAGTTCCTGTGTTTTTCTTTTATTCTTTATTGTAATTGTGGACATTGGAAGAAGGAAAGAGGATGAAAGCTCAGCTATTAGAGATCAGAGAATTCCCTGGATACTACATAAAATTCTCCACTTACAATTCAGTGGCCCAGCCTATTTTTTAATTGAGATATACAGACATTCAGTTCTGCTATTGCATTTCTTAATGAAAATCCAGCATTACACCCTTGGCATGACTGGCTTTAGGTAGCAGTCTACCGATGTCGTATTACAAGACTGAAATCATGCATGTTATATCTTATTTGATGTGCATTTGTTTAATTTTTTTAGAGCTTAAGGAGAGTTCGTGTAGGGATAGGGAGACCAAGCAAGAGAGATAATGTGACAGAATATGTCTTGAGCAATTTTGATCCATCAGAGATGCTTGTCATGGAAAGAACAATAGAACAATGCTGTGATGTCCTCATGAAGGAGCTTCAGTTATTAAGATCTTAGGAGAGTGTCCACTTTAGTGTAGTGCCAGGGCAGTAGTTTTTAAAACATAACTCTGCAGTATTTATTTAGTTGCCTGCCTCCTAGAATTCAATCATTATTAAGAGCATCTTCAACAAAGTTTATTTCAGACTTGAAATTTCAACATAAATTTACACTCTCATTTTCTTATTTACCTCAAATGTGTCCTGTTTAACCATTACCATCATTCATGACTTTGCCAGGTCTACTTGCCTCTCAAGAAAATAAAAGAGCTTCTTAATTTGGTATCCAGTCACCTCGCCACCAAGCAGACTCGCCACCAGCGAACTCGCCACCAAGGAACGATCTCGCCACCAACGTACTCGCCACCAAGCGAAGTCTTCTCGCCACCAACCACCAATAAAGAGATTAGTCGAGGACAGTAGGATGTTCGGCTGATAAGTCTGTACTCAAACTTTATAAACGTATGTTGTCGAAAGCACGTTCGAAACCGATAAGTTTGTTCGCTTGTCTGTACTCAAACTTTATAACCGTATGTTGTCGAACTGTTTACCATCAACGCCTTTGTGAGGAGCGGCGAGCAAGCCAAACAGGTTCCTCTGCTGTTTGTCCTCATGTCTGGTAAGAGAAAGCGGGACTACCGTACAGTGGTGTTGCAAGAAGTGCTGAGAATGCTTCCTTCGCATTTAGTTTTAATACAACTGCTATCGAGTTTCATTTCATCACTTATTTCTTCCCATGAAGTTTCATTTTCTCTCAAGTAAGTTTTTATTCCTCGCATCGAGTTTTGCAATTTCTCCTCGCTTACGTGCAAAAGACAAACACGATACGTTTCGATGTCAATGAGTTAGGAACGGAACACATCTAACACGTCGCTGAAGGTCATAATTTAAATACAGACAAGCGCACAAACGTATCGGCCGATTTGAATTGTGCTCGTTCGAACATCCTACTCTCCTCGACTACTTTATTCTAGTTTATCTCTTTATTGGTGGTTGGTGGCGAGAAGACTTCGCTTGGTGGCGAGTACGTTGGTGGCGAGATCGTTCCTTGGTGGCGAGTTCGCTGGTGGCGAGTCTGCTTGGTGGCGAGGTGACCGGTAACCCTTAATTTGATAGTAGCCGTCTGTATTAGCAGATGTGTACAGGAAATGTACATAAGTACTTACACTGTAACTTTGCTAAAAATGTTCATGGTCTTTCACATTTACATGCATTCGAGAGAAGATCATTAAAATTGTATTAATATACCATTAAGTTGATGTAACTTTACTAATAGCCAAACCTGTACTAAGCGGTCACCCATGGGGAATGGTGCTTAATACAGGTTCCACAGATTGGGGGAAACTGAGAAATGTAATAACTATAAACATCAATTCGATTTAATTTCTAAACTGTACCTGTTCTGTGCATTAAACAGGGCAGGGCAGCGACTTCGAAGAGCATTTTGAGCCGAATTCTACAGTATAATTTAGTTTCATCACCTGAGTTTTTAATGTAAATTGGCCATCAGAAACAACTTTACTGTGGCCAATCAACATTATCAACTCAGTTGATAAAACCAAATTATCTCGTTATACTTCCCCCACCAACGCAGCACTACAATTTCTCTAAGAGTCCTACATTAGTCTGTACAGCTGGCGTTATTTTCCCCGTTTTTAAAGCGAATTCAGACAAGCACGAGAAGAGAGAAAGGAGGGCGTAACACTTGTCGCTTCTAGAGATCTACCTGAAAGAATCCGGGTATCGGGGCTTGATTAATGTAAAGAACTGCTCATAATTTGTACAGTTGATATTTGGAAGAACCCAGGCAGGCTTGGTTTAGGTTACAGCGGGCTGAAAGGAATTCAGCCTGGCGTAGGTATGATCAGACTTTGACGGATTATCCACAAGAGGGCTAACCCTGTTTTGGAATGAAATCTCATTTATTTATGCATGCATACTGATTTACATAGTTAGGTAAACTGATTGCTTTTAGAAAAGTTCAAGCGGCTCACTTGCTGACGTGAGAAAACTCGTTTGATTTCAAAAAGGAGAATGCATTTCTCCCACAAGACTGAAAGTCTTAAGCCTGTCTAGCGATGGCATATTTTACTTTTCAGAACTAACGCAAAAAATGCTTTGGCTGAGACCCAAACAAAATTAATAAAGGTACGCAGTTACATGTCGTGACAAAGAAGGGGACTCCCCTAATTAGCATGTATGCATTCATGCGATATTTCGGTGCAAGCATCATGCTTAGATACGAATCTTTTTCATTTATCTCAAAATTTTGAGAAAGATATCAAACCCGACAATATCTCGCCGATTGATGACCGCCGAGGCGGAGCTCCTAACTAGGACGTGCTAAATCTCGTTTGGTTCCTTTCGCAAATTTCTGCTAATTATATCGAAGTGTTTGAGGTTCAATGAGATCCAACCCCAAATCCACCCTTTTGTTTTGATTCAAATTTGCTTGTTGTTGCGCCGCCAAGCATAGAGAATTGAACAAAGCGTTCACATTGCCCTCGATCGGTTGGCACTGCTTTTGACGGCGCATAAACAGTTTGCTTGTTACAAAGGCGACTTCTATTCAGCGATTCAGTGACAACGCCAGTGCCTGATTCAATTCAATTGTGAAATTATCGACTAAATTTATTTCGCACGCACCCAAACAGATATCGGGGCGTCCTTCAAGAAGAACGGTAACATATTGGTTTTGTGACTTTCCACGTGGGTGAGTAAACGGGAAATACAAAAGTCAGCTGTCACTTTCAATAACAACTTCGAGGCATTTGCTTGCGACGGACCAGAAATCTTGATCTCTGATCGTCAACAAGGTTCTTCAATATTGCGATCAGCAAGGCTACGGCCGTTGGCTCGTTCCATATGTTCGGAACAGTATACTAAAATTTATCCGTGGTTAGTTTCTTAACATACACCTGCGTTTATCGCAGATTCAAATTTAAAAAAACGCGCAAAATTTGACAAGTGGTGAAAGGTGGGCGACGAATGACAAGTGTGGCATTCACAACTGGGTACCAATTTGTAAAATTGGTGATAGAGCCTCCGGCCAATAAAATGCCGGACAATGACAGCTCAAGTCACGTGTCTCTGTACGATACGGCATTTGGAAGTTGTCTTCGTGCACAGACGAGTCGTTACTAGTGAAAAGGAAGTTATTATCAGGTTTGAAATTGTCTAATGTTGGAAAAGCTGGAATTGGCGAGTTTATGAATATTTATCTTTACCCACGTAACGTTAAAACCCCACAGATTTGTTTTACCCTCTAACGCGTCAACACGATTGTGGTTCGGAGCCGCGGCAAGGAAACTCTGCGTACGGCTTTAAACGGCTTATTTGACTGAGACATTTTCAGTCTTCTGGCGAAGTCTCTAAAGTCACTTCTAAACGAAGAGGAACGAAGTTGTTTACGAAATATGCCGTCTTCTTGTTGTGGGTTCATAAGACTACTGCGGTCTTTGCGCAGATCGCGCTCTCAGTCCTCTCAAAACCATGTCGGAGAAAGGACACATCACCGACTGACTGCCGAAAAGATCTCAGGTGGGTCAACCTATGATAGGAAGTTTAACAAAATTTAAAGCTTATCGCCGGAAAGGAAAATGGATTGAGTTGACGAATTTCAGAGCTGTTGATGATGTCGATATCAAATAAGTTAAATATAACTTAATATTCATGCAGTATCTAAACTTGGTATGGTCAGTTTCCCCTTAACTTTGGTTTCTCTCGAATTAACGATTCTTATTTGATTTTAATTTAATCCAACAAAGCAACCATTTTTCGCGGTGTTAGTTTCGTATTAGTGTAAACGAGCGGACTTGTTTCACTAAACGAATGGTGGGAATCGGAATGCGGCACTGCGATGTGCTTGGAACCATCCCTCTTTTAATCGCGCGAAAATGCTGATTATTTTTTGATAGACAGGTGTCAAAAAGGAACTCAAAGATACTAAAAATCGTCATCGCGTTATTACGTCATGGTTCAATGCCCTAGAATACATTTTTTCATGAAATGTCATCTTTCACGCTGAAGCTGATATATTTGGGAGCTTTCAGCGGCGGAGCTGAGAAAGATTGGAGACAAAGATTCCTACGGATTCTCTGCTAAAACCTCCGCTTCTAATTTCCGCGCCTAAGTCATCAGATACGTTGAAAATTCGTGCTTAAAAGGCTCACAAAATGCTCTTGAAAAGCAATAACATCCATGCACATCAGCCTTACACGTATGGCAAAGAGATATCAACATTGCAGTGTAACTAAAATCTATCCACTATTGTTTTCCGTTTGCGTTTTGTAAAATAAAAAGTAGGTTGTATAAAACAACCAGTCTGAACACAGTTCGAAAATAAAGGAAAATACGAGTAGTTCAAGGAGCAAAGCTAACCAAACTAAATACATATGGAACGAGAAGACGTCCGGTTTTCAGCGCAGTTAACTGTGAGTTAGACCGAGTCGCTTTTAAGTTAAGTTTGTATATAAATGGTTGAGTTCCGATCGAGCATAAGCCGCTAGTTTTCCAGACCATCACAAAGCGTACCACCAGTGGAAGTGAAGCAAAACCATGACAATGCTGTATTTCTTTCGGAACTCAACTTAATATTTCCCTTGCGGCACCGATAAATTTGTTTGTTCCTTACGGTACTCTGGCTATGATTCTGTCAAGTATAATACGCTACCAAATTATCTATTTAGCAACACAGCATTCTTGCGATCTATTCGACGCGATGGAATAAGGCCACAAGATTTGAGATTTTTGCAATGAGTCCACCTTCATAGACTAGCCACGATTTTGGGGACAGTTTATCGAAACCATCGATTTATAAGGGTCGCGTCGACAGCGAAATTCTCCTAACTACGAGAACTGCTCGACCCCAAAGTAAAACTAACATTAGAGGCGTTACCCTTCACGTCAGAGGAATACAATCACGCGAAGAGCATCCTAACAGAAAAGTACGGCGAAGAGTCCGAGATCGTGAAAGCATACACCAGAGAAATTTGGACATCCCTTCAGTACTAAACGCGAATTCAAAGAAAATCAGCGAATTCAGCGAAAGCACGTCTCTTGCATTTAAGATTCAGTTTCACTTGGAAACAGAGAAGATTGGCGTAATTTTACGGTCAAAACCCGGTCACCAAACGTTTTCCGCGCTCTACTCTACGGATAACCGTTGTACCACTTCCAGCCGTGCGACGAAGAGTTGCATTGATGCAAATCCTAAATCTGCGAGACCACCAACTTCCGGTGCTGCAATGATGGTCTCAAGCAGTTAATTTTTTAGACCA